CCCCAAACACGTGTGTAGATAGAAATGGCTGTAATTTCTTTAGTTAAAGCAACATGTTTGTTAAACCCCTTTAATTAAAGCTGAAAGTCTTCCGTTTCAATCACATCTTGACTTTTTAGAATTTAAAATCTACTGTTATGTAAAGAGGCAGGACTACAAAAAAGTGTCATTATCCAAAAACTGATGGGCTCATTTGTATATAAATACTTTTTCAAAGATTCCAGGTGGTTGACATCTTTTACCACAGTGGAGGAAATTGTTATTTGACTCCCTGCAGAATTTGTAAGTTGAAATTTATAAGTTGGAAAAATACCACACAAAGAAGGACCCAGCAGAAACATCTGTCTGTAATCTTCACTCAGTGAAAGGGAAATCAATTTATAACTTTTATGTAATGTCTGTTTTTTTGTTTTTGTATTTTTGGTTGATATTCCGTCTCTCACCAATAAAATGAAACTACCATAAAAATTTGAGACTGCTCTTTTTGTTGTAAATGAGCAAACGTACAAATTTATCAGGGGATCAAATCATTATTTCACCCAATGTATATTTTTGTCTGGAGCCTTTGGTTAAGTAGACTGCTTTAGCTTTCAGACACAGAGCAAAAAAGCTCTAATAAATGGAGAATTGCGGAGGATCTTCATCAAAAACAGGAATCTCTCTTTGCTGATTATACAGGTGCAAGTTTTTGATCCCATCGGGATCTGAATCTGACTTTTGTCCTTTTGTTTCAACGGATGTTTCCCATTTTAAATCTCATGTGAGTCTGTTTCCTTTACTCTCTCCACTACTGACCGAGTGTCAGCCCAGAGGGACCATTTCTGCTGGTTCCTTTTGTGGTTTTCGACTAAATGCCGTCCCTTTTTGAAATATGATTAATTCATAGACTGTTATTCAAACTGTAATGTTTGAATAGTTACTCCTACACAGCGCATTGGATTTTAAGTGCAAAGCTTTGTGTGCACCTTCAACAACAACAGCCACACCTGTGCACACATGTACTGACTAACTCTGTCCTCCTTTGTTGACCCGCAGCACCTGCAGCTCCATTGCAATCCAGGAATCCTGGTCATAAATAAGCACAGTTTTCACTATACATAGTTTTCATTGCATTTTTCTTGAGAAATTAAAAGTTCAAACAATGTCTTTTTTTTCCTTGCAAATATATATAAACAAAAATAATACAGACCAACATGAATCAGCACTGTTAAAAGCCTGAGCAACACCCATGTCAGTTACATAACACCAGGCTGACTACCTAAGTGCTCCACCTAGTGGTGGCAGATTTTAATCACCAAAACTACACTGTTCATAGAGTAATTACTGAAGAGTGGTCACACATTTCAGATGGGACTGATCTCTACACTTTATCTGATATTTTTCTTGTATTGTTTTGGTGGAGCTCCAGTTTATCAAATGACCACACTCTGTGGCCTGGAGAAAAGCATGAAATTGTTTTGTTTTTATAGCACAACCCCCCCCCCAAACAAACAAAAACCCAAACAAACAAGGATGATCATTTCATGGATATTTAATTGAAAAAGTTATTCACATTTGTTCTTCAGATGTTTCCCTTTACACGTGCCACATCAGTATTTTGATACAGACCTGACTCATCGGACATATAAAAGGACGGCTGAGAGTTTTGTTCAGTGGTCTCACTGCTAATTTTCTACAGGCCATAGTCATAGTCAGGTTTCCCATCAACATAGGTCTTGTAGAAGGCCTTGTAGGTGTCTGTGCTGTACATGGTGGCTTTAACAGCTGGATCCTCCCGCATGCGCTCTGTCCACTTCTTCAGCTCAGGTGTACCATCCAGACAGCTAGAAGACAAAGAAAGTAATTTAAAGAAAACTGAATGACAGAACATGAATACACAGATAAATGAAAACGTTAGGCAAATGAGACGTTCTGTTTCAGTAATATAAATATTCAGTTTGATTTAAATAGCACCAAATCACAACAGCAATTGCATCAAGGCGCTTTATATTGTAAAGTAAAGACCCTACAATAATACAATAAGAGCAGGTTCCATTAATAAAGATGAACTAAGATTTAATTTTAACCAACACCACTCTTACTTAAAAAACACAGGCTGAAGCTGTTGGACTCAAACTCAGTGACTCAAATGCTGCTGCAAACATGCTATGTGAACAAGGCAGCATTCAATGTAACCACACTTGTCAACTCGTAACTATCATCAAGTGAGATTAATGCATCAGTAAAGTGTGCTAAGCACAAATTTAGAGTTTTCCCTGTCAAGGAGCCCACTCTTCTTTTACCTTATTTGATCAATGTTTGCAAATTGTGCTTAACACCATCAACATCTGTAAAATTCACTTTGCACTTTCAATTTTAAAGAGGCAAAATAAATATAACTTAGGAGTTCTTAAGATCTGCTCTTCCCTGCAGCATTGCTTTACTTGGAGCTCCTTTTGCCATTATATGGATTTTATAGTGATTCTTTATGGGTCCCTATCAGCAGTTCCTCTGATAATGTCTATGACTAAAAGGAGGCCGCATTCGATTGATCCGCATTGTGTGGCGAAAGAGCGAAATTATGTCATGTGTCCCCCTTTGTGCATTGAGCGCAATGCAGAAAATCTGTCTTTAATCCAACACTGTGAGGCGTGTAGTGTCTCACTGGGTTCTCAAGTTTTGACAAGCCAACAAACACAAAAAAAGCCTGGAAGTATACCACTTGCTTCATAGCATACCCTTCTGGTCTCACAAAAGGAACAATGACAAATAGCACTGATCAATGTGCTCCGTCACTGTGGGAATCCCTCTTCTTTCTCTTGTCTAAACCTTTGTATAGTTAGGTTCCACTCAGATGACCTCAAGTTTCTTTAAATTATTGTATGAGTTAAACATTCATTTTAAACACCCTTTAAACTTAAAGACTGCTACTTACTGTTGCAACTCAAAGGTCACCAGCCTCTCAAACCAAGGCCACATCATGTAGTCAATCATTGTTATGGAATCACCGCCAAAGAACTTGGTCTTCTTATTAGCAAGGTCCTATGATTGAACATTTTTGCCTTTACAAGCTGTAATATTACATTTTGAGTTAATGGACAAAGAAACTACGGGATTCAAATACATTACCTACCTTACTTAATTTGGCTAATTTTTCTTTCAGTTCAGCTTCCAGTCCAGAGACATCCTCTCCATTCCTTCTACCCATTGGGATCTTGTAGAAGTATGGTGTCACCTGTAGAAAATAGTGACATTACAATTATTTGGTGATGGTTGAAAAACAAAAACCAAACCCTTAACATTTTTATTAAAGTTTTCATGCAACATACTTTGGAAAAGTGCTCCAGCATCATCTTTTGCTGAGCCTTAGCAAAGGGAGAGGAGGGAAGCAGCTTCTTTTCAGGGTAAACTTCATCCAGGTATTCACAGGTGATGGGTGACTCGTATATCACCTCACCAGCAGGTGTCTCAAGCGTTGGGACAAGACCAAGAGGATTCTTCTCAAGAAACCAGTCTGGTTTGTCTTTCAGGTGGATGTTGACGGTGTCATATCTGAAACACAAAAGTACCTACGTTATGTTCAGTGAGTGGGATGAGATTTGTAAAATCAATTGTAATAAAATGCATGTTTACGTGATTCCTTTGGCATTCAACACTAATCTGGTCCTCTGGGCAAAAGGGCAGAACCTCATGCTGTACAGTCTAATGTGGCCTTTGGGCACTGGACCAGGTGCGGCACTACCTGAGGGAAACAAGAAAAGCTTAAAAACTAGAATAAAAAAAATACTGAGGTGTAAAGACTTCTGAGGGTCATTCATCAAATTATTTTTTGATTTCATTAACCACTCCGAGAAGAAACTGTCAAGTATTACTGCTTTCATTTTTTTGGTTGGGCTATTTTTCTGTTATTTCTGCACAGTTATTTGTCACTAGAGTTAGACCTAGGACACAGCAAATTTATGTTTTAGCATTTCGTCATAGCTGAGACAGAAAATGTGATGCAGTTGTAGACTGGCAGCTGTATGCTCTTAATTTGGTCTTTATTTCACAACACGTTTGATCAGTGGCGGTCCTAGCCTGGGTGAGGTGTTCCAGGCATGTCCCACCGGGAGGAGGCCCCGGGGCAGACCCAGGACACGCTGGAGAGATTATATCTCTCGGCTGGCCTGGGAACGCCTTGGTATTCCCCCGGATAAGCTGGAGGAGGTGGCTGGGGAGAGGGAGGTCTGGGCCTCTTTGCTTAGGCTGCTGCCCCCGCGACCCGGCCCCGGACAAAGCGGATGAAGATGGATGGATGGATTCTTGGAGCAACTGTAACCCACATAATTTCCTTAGGGATTAATAAAGTATTCTGATTCTGATTGTTTCAGGATGACCTGCCATTATCCAATGACACGTCTGCTTACCTGTATCTTTTGCTCGTTTCTCCTCCTCTTCTTTTCTATTTTTTCTAAACTGAGCACCTGATGGCTTTGAACTTTTCTTGTCCATCTTCCATTGGTTTTAATTTTGCACTCCAGTATGAACACAAATCCCCCATATCGAGGAGCACCACAACATAACCTAACAGACCTACACCTTAGTTCACAGATTCACTTTGTCTAGGGTGTATTTCTGGGATTTCACACAACCCAGGATTCAAATCATGAATACATAATGGACTTGGATTTACATCATTATAAATGAAATGTGCTCTATTTGGAAGCAGCAGGGCCGCTCCCCTTTCGTCGGGTTGTGTGTGAAACTTTAAATCATCAAACTGTAAAATATAAATTTTAAATTGTTATTGATCCCTTTACCCCTGGTCCTAAAGTGCATATTTATTTTCTTACTCTTCTTATATATATTGTTTGTTTACTTGCACTGCTGTGGAGCCTCGTCGTCTCGTCTCTCTATATACTGGACTGTATGTAGCGGAGATGACAATAAAGTTTTACTTTGACTTCAGCAGCAAGCAGGCGCACCGAGGGCTCTCGCGCTCACTTTTCGCGTATAGAATTTCGAAAAAAACATTGGTGCAAATTATAAGTCTGTATCATAATGTCTGGTGTTTTGTTTTTATTTTGTTTTATTTTGCGAGTTGGTTATTAGATGCTGCTCCAGCCAGCCAGTGACTCCCCCGCCGCCCCGCCCTCTCCTCCCTGTGCCGGAAGCAGCAGGAGCACCTCGCAAACGGAGGGCGCCCTTATTCCAAGCAAATGGGCGATAGAAAACCGATCGGTGCCTATGCCATTTCCAGTATGCACTGGCATGACGTCGGGGCAGCATGAGTACGAGCAATTTTTATTATTTTTATTTTTTACCGATGCCCGTGATGCCGCCCCCCCACCACGATGCCGCCCCGGGCAACCGCCCGTGTCGCCCATATCAAAAACCGCTACTGCGTTTGATGACACATACTAAAAATGAGTCCATTAAATGGGCTATTTGATTTGCAACTACAGTGTATCTGCGTTTAGCTTTAGTGTTGTATCTCGTTACTTCCTAAATTCTCCCCTGTAATCAGTTCAGGGCAGAGGAAAATTCATCAATAGAAAGCCTCCAGTTTTAGCCGAGTAACAGCGTAGGTCTTACCATTAGCGAAACATTTTTCAGTGGACATGTTGGCACTTCAAGTGGTAGACGAAGAGCCGAAACGGTGACCGACTACACCTGACCGAGAAAGAAAGTCAGAGAGCAAGCAGTATGGCTGATTATTAATTTTATACACTATTTCCGTGGTGAGCGTGTCAAACAGCGCCTCAGCCAATAGTGTGAAAGGCGGGTTACTATGGTTACACAACGCTCTCCCGGTTGAAAGTACTTATAAACATTGCGTAGTTTGACTTTTTTCTTCTTCTTTTTAATCGTAAAATGAACGAGTTTGGAAGTTTAGAACTCAGGTATGTTGTCGCTGCAATTACGACACTGGTTATTTGTTAACAATTAACTGATATTGGATTGTTACAGGTGGATACAAGGTTTCGGAAACAAAAATACCGAGTTTGTTGAAAATAAAACAGTATGCTACACATGTGGGAATCATATATGTTTCCTGAATTTGGAGACAAGGACGCAAAACGCGTTTCCGAGTCCTGGCAGAGGCATTGGTGCATTGACAGCCAACGGAAACAGTGGGATTTTTGCTTTTTCCGAGGAAAAACTATCCCCGTCGATATATGTATACAGTTTCCCTGAGCTTCAGTTGAAGAATGAACTTAAAGGTAAGGCAGACGTACTTTAATTTGTTAAACTGCCACATTTTTTACTGTAATCCTGCCAAAGATGTGGACTTTTGCTCATTCATCTCTTTTTTTAGGAGGAGCACAACTGGACTACACATCTCTGGCATTAAGCCACGGTGGTCCATATTTGGGCTCCTGCTCCTCTCTTCCTGACCACATCATTACTGTGTGGTAAGCCACTCAAAACAGAACACTGCCCTATACTGTGTACCATGTGTTTTCAGTTACTCGGGCTGAGCGGCAGTGTAATAGTAATCATAACCTTCTGATGCAGGAACTGGGAAAATGCTGAGCCACTTTGTTCTCAACCACAAGCTGGACAGGATGTCGTTTCCTTGGCATTCAACCCCATGAATTGGCTTCAGCTTTGTTCCTTGGGCACTGCTTCACTCACTGTCTGGAATATTGCAAAGAGTGACAGCCTTCATGTCCTGCAACCGAGGTAAACGCAATACAGCAAATGCATGTGTTTAAGTTTCTTTCAGCCTTGCTGCAAATGCATGGAAGGTTGAAAGAAAGTGGGGAAAGTAAAGAGTCAAATAATAACATATATGTGCATATCATATTTGTCATATTGCAGTACAATTAAGCTTCCAGCACCTGGTGGGACCTTTAGTGAGAGCCAGGCACCATCCTCTCAAAATGTCAGCAACATTATGGTAACTTTCTAGTTTGTGTGATATAACTGCAGTTTTTAGATCTTTAATTTATCCATAAAACAATTATGTTTTCCATGACCCAGCTCTACATGTGTTTGCACAGGCCAAACTCCACCAGAGCACCAGAGCCAGGCTGACTCCTTCTGCCATCTGCTGGACAGCCACTTCAAAGCTCTATGTGGGCTGTGCTGAAGGATTCCTGCTTCTTGTTGACCCAGAGAGCCACTCTGTCTCTGTCCTTTCCAATCCTACAAGTAAACAAACCCACACTTGGATGTGGAAGATATTTTTTACCCAATTCAGAGACTAGAAAACCCATTGGACATATTATTTGTTCTTCATTTTTATTCAGGTGCTGAATCTATCCCTGAACTCAGAAGAAACAGCTTTCAGCGTTTAACTCCTAACAACAATGGTTTGATTGCTGTAGGAAAGGTACAAGCCCACTCAATGGTTACTGTATTAATGTATACAAGCACATCAAACATCAGGCAATTTAATATTGTTCTGTGTTGCAGGAGAGCGTTGTACACCTGCAAATCAAAGGGAGTCAGATAAACATTGCACAAACGTGGAAGTTAGAAAGACCTGTCACAACTGTGATGTACTCTCCTGACTATAAAACATTACTTTTTTCCTCTAATACCGTAAGTACTTAAGTGCGCAGGAGCATAACATGATATAGCCTATATCCAAATAATAATATGTTACATGACAGAAAAGAACAAACTCTGACACCTGCTTTTCAGGGGCAGATATATGTGTTGAACCCAGCCCAGTCAGATAGGATTGTGAAGATCTTCGATGTTCTCAGTGGCAACTTTGTGACAGCAACTCTCTTGCACAATGACAAGAACATTTGTGTGGTAAAGCATCTGTGTTGCTCAAGAACTGCAGCGTCTTGTAATTTGGGCCTGTGTCTCTTAATGAGCAGTGATGTTTGTGTTTACATTGGTTGCAGTCCTTGAAGGAGTCTGGAGAATTGCAACTGTGGTCCTCAGATGGCATCTGCATCAGTTCTCTCTCACTCCAAGTGGAGGTCAGATTGCCACCAGGAGAACTTACAGGACAGAGCACTTTAATATAAAATGTGTAAAATTGACATTTTTAAGAAAAAACACAAGTCTCTTTGTCTTTAGGTGACATGTCTGGCCTGCTGTCCTGTTGCACACTATGCAGCTGTAGGAACAACTACAGGAAAAGTGCTCTTTATTGACCTAAACCAGGAGCAGAGGCCTCGCCTGGTGCACGAGGTTCTCCTTTACCACAGTGCTGTTGATCATTTAGTGTAAGTATCTTCCATTTTTGTGATGCTTTCACGGGCATTTCAGTTAAAAACTGCACACAAAATTATATTATATTATATTATTATATATTATTATATTTGTGACATGGAAGCATGAATTAGAGGGTGACTTCTTCTCCCCTTCTGCTCAGAAAAGCAAATAAAAATGTGTTTACTTTTACAGTTTTGATCATGACGGGCACTATCTTTTCACCGGTGGCTCAGATTCACATATCTATGTCTTAGAAGCTAGGCCGTCCAAGATGTTTTCAGTCATAGGGTACACAGGTAAATGCTTTTATTCTTACTCCTTTCAAAATATTATAAATCAACATTAAATTACAGCACACATCAGTGTAACTAGATAAGAACTGTCACACACTGTAGCGTTGCAGAAATGTGTAGTCCTACTACTGTAACCAATGCAATGTGTGGGTTTCTTTTCCAGTTCTTTCTGGATGCATTTTGTCTCTTTCCGCTCAGTGCAACAGGGACATGAACAAGGTGAAAGTTCTTGCACTGTGTGCTGGTGAAGAGGACAGAAAAAAGGACAGTAGCCTGCTTACATTGCTCTCTCTGCCTACCCAGAACCTTGGAGGTACAAAACTAAAAGTGTTGATGAATTCTCTACTTAGTCTCTAGATGTTTAAATCATTTTAAAACAGTTTTATGATAGGACAGAGTTGTTCTTTAAAAAAAAAGAATCTGTAGAACATAAATTACTGTGGTACCTTTTTAAGAGCGTGAATCCCTCTTGAAAAATAGTAGGATTTTTTGGCAGTGTCTCAGAGGCAATGTGAGAATCTCAAGTCTAATAAATGAATCATTAAATCATGGGGTAGTAAACTAAGGCAGTTAAAAAAAATGTAAACATTTAGCCAAGAAGGGGCACTGCATACATGAGAGGAGTGAGGTTTGAGAATCTGCAAAAAGTAAAAATTCATTTTGAAACCAAAAGTTGAATCATCTCCTGTGGGCGAGGAGAGGTTTGGAAGGTGATTAATGGAAATAAAGTACAAGCGAAACTTAAGGATCATGTCCTGGTTCCCGTAGTTTCCTTTATATTCCACTTACAGTACTGGGAAAAGTCTTGAGTCACCTATCCATTCTTTATGATTTGTTTCCAGGGAGCAAGGCTTTCTTGTCTTTTCTTAAAGTGGTCTTTAGCAGTAGTTCTCCTGGCTTTCTGAAGGTCTTTTGAGTGTTATGTTGACATATAACAAAAAACTTTGGAACTTCTCACTCTTATTGCTTGTTTATGCCCTGCCCTTATCTTCAACGTCATGCTGCTCTGTTGTATCTTAATTGCCCCTTGGGGATAAATAAAGTCTTTCTGATTCTGAAAAAATCAGTTTTAAATTGTATCTTTAGGACTTTGTTATTAGCAGCTCGTTGCAAAGGCATGAATTTTGCTTCCATTTCTTTAGTCAGATTTTAAAAAGTCCCAAAAAATGCATTTTGAAAGGCATACAATTTTATTTTTTCTTCAACAAGATGATTCCCAAAGGTGATTCCTTTTAGCTAAAAACTTTGGATATCTTGACATGGTGTACAGTGTGTCCTTAAAAAAAATTGAGGAAACTTGAAAAATGAAGACAAAAGAAGTGGGAGGACTAAAAAAACACACACTGGGACACTATGAGCCATAGATCATCCTCCCCAGAACCCACACCTAAACATTATGGAAACCACGTGGAATCTTCTTGACAAAAACAAAAAAAAGCAGCCATCATCCAGAGAAGAGCTTTAAATTTCCTTCAAAAAACCTGGAAAATTACTCCTGAAGATTACTTAATGAAATGACAAGAAGGCTGCCTAAAAGAGTTCATGCTATATTGAAGAATGAAGCTGGGTATATAAAAATATTGACTTTAAAGATTTGATAGAACTGTGGAAACTGTTCTTGCCTCATGTACTATATTTCCATTTATGTTTGCACATTTCACTGCACCTATCTCCCATTGTAGGAGCAAAATATAAAGAACTGGGAGACAGCCTGAGATTTTAAACAGTACTTTACACAGGTTTAATAAACGATGAATGATAGGCTTCTTCTTGTCTTCTGTTCTTATTGTTTTAAGCCTGAAAAAATGCATTATTTATCCATTATGTTTTATTTATCCAAGGAAATATCTTGGCAGTGTTCAAAACAAGGAACAGACACTAGACCACGTTCCCATAATGGATTAATAGTACTTAACGTGATGTATCACACAGAAATGTTTAGACATGTTGTTACTGACACAGTTAAAATGAATACAGCGAGTGAACAGTTTACAAAATCACACCCTTTATTTATACAGCAGACTGGAAAACTATGTTGGACAACACACACAAAGACACAAAGAAGAAGCAAACACCAAATTGAGAGTTCTAATACTAACGCTGAGATGCTAGTTTGCTTTAAGGGGCCATCTTTGAGATTAAAGCGCCGGGAAAAAAAACAGGCTTGGCAGTTTGTAATTCTCAATTTATCTGTTTTTCATTGCATATTACAACGTGTCTGCTGTTCTGCAGGTCCAGATAGTATAGACCGACATGGTTGCCTGTCTTCTCACGTCCTCAAAGTGTTCACATTCACCGTGCCTCGTCCACTTACAAGCTGTGTTCTGGGATTAAGTGAGATCTTTGCTTACTGCCACAGGAGTAAAACACTTCAGCGATTTGTACTTCCTGAGGTTTGCTGCTGTCTTTTTTGGCTTTTTTCTTCTCAAATCATCTGTATAACTAAGTCACAGCATAGCATCACTCTGATTTGTTTTTGTAGTTTTACATACGTAATGGTCTCAGGTGTGCATTTTGAATCTTATTATTCTACTCTCTGATCTGTGCTCTCAGGACAAAGGGGATCTCTCTGATCAACAGGGAGTCGAGCTGAAACCAGTGCAGGAAGTAAGGGGTCATCCACTGGGCCCTGCCTCTCTTGCTCTCTCCCCTCACCGTTTATGGTTGGCTTCTGTGGGCCGAGATGGCTTACTACGGATTAGACAAACTGCGTCCATGGTTAGATCTCATTTAATTTCCTGTTTTTCATTTTTACTGTGAATGTTTTTGAATCCTGCATTTCATTCCCTGTGGCGCTGCCACACCTCTAGGAGCGGTACATTGAACTGCAGTGTCACTCGTGCCGTTTCGGTGGAGTCCGGAACGTGTCCTTTTCCACAGACGGTTGCACACTCCTCACTGTAGGCCTCAAAGATGGCTCTCTTGTGTGCACTAACATCAGGTAAAACGAGTTGCACGTCACGCTTACATAATGCACAGATGTGAACAGCAGAGGGAACCGTTGCTCACAGTCACCAATAGGCTGATGAGGGTTACGTAAGGCAGGGCTTTTTCTCTATTATAACTGGCAATGAAGGACAAAAGTAAGTAAATATAACTTAGTGTCCAGGGGAATATCAGCAGGAAGACAAAGATCTAATAAAATTCACAGCACAATCTTTCCTCAGAATAACATCCCACTCACATTCCACATCTGACTACAGCAATTGTTCCTGCATGCTTCTGTTTTCAAGTCGTTTTTATCTTAAAGGTTTTAGTACTTCAGAAATATTTTATTTGCATGCACCATTTGCGAGATCATGGTGTGTATAACCCACTGCCTATATTATTTATATAATAATAATATTGCGAATAATCTGTAAATGTAACCCCAATTGACCAAGCTATATATATAATGTTTAATTGATCTGTGACAGATACTCTAAAATGTTCCCATGTTATTAATTATAGTTTCAATCGTTTTTTGTCAAAAACACAAAATGTACAAACAAAATTACATATTTTAGGCAATCCTTGTGTGACTTTTATCTTTGTTTCAGTACTGCTAAAAAAAAGACTGACTGAATTAAGGATTGACTTTATTAAAACATGGCAGTATCATTTTATTGGCAAACATATATCAATGCTTTTGTTTAAAGCAAAAGCTAAGAAAACATCTTTCCTCTCGATTCTGTTGTGTTTTAAATGTTTTCTGACGTTGAGCTGTTTTCACTGTCACTTTGGAATCTGCCTCAGGGTGTTGTAGCGGAAAAATGTCACTACTGTAAGTCTGTTAGCCGTGGTTCGCTGCAAGCAGACCTACTCATAAATTTCCATCTTCTCATCACTGATTTAGAAGTTGGAAATTTACAATAAAATCAAAGCCAGTAATGTTAAAAACGGGTGTGCATGCATGTTTCTGGGATCACAGATGTTGCCACATAACAATCCATCATATTTTCAGTAGGATACTTTCTGTGAGAAACAATGAAAAGTTTAATTGTTTCAAATTCAGATCCACACTAGAAAACCTTTTCATTATGATCCATATAAATATACAGCCTGGGCCATAAACAGACCTCTGAGGTGATAACCCTATTCTAACCCTGTATTTTAGAGAAGGAAAAGAACAGATTTTTTTAAAAATACTTTTTTCTTTTGTGCTTCAAGTAAAATTATTATTATTTTTGTTCCCTGATTGACAAAACTGTATAGAACAGTTTAATTACACAGTCCGATCACCTAGGGTTAAAGTTACATGTTTAGGCTCTACAAAGATTCATTGCACCGTTAAACCTGAGGGGGTTAAAGGACATGCTTGATGATAACATATATTTTTATTAATAGCAACAAATTCCATGAAAAGATCAAATATTATCTGTGCAACCAAGCTGTGTAGTCTGTTCTCAGAGATTCTTTTGTCTAGAAACTCTTAAATGGATTTGTGTGCGCTGTTACTTGTGCCTTCATTATGATCAATTCACCGTTGACTGCGGTCTTCTCTTAAAATGACAGCTGATAAATACCTTTGCATATTTTTGTGTATTTCTGCTTGGGTTCACACAGAGTTAAAGGTGGGGATGTCAGTAAGATGAATGAAGCTACTCAGTACAGCAAGTCTACGGCTTATTTCTTGAAGAATATCTTTGATACTGAAAATCCCATCCTGATTAACTTTCCTGTGTGGGGTCAAGTGTCTCCGGTTGGCACGGAAACTCCAGAGGTAAGTAAGGTTAAATTGATCCATTGCGTTCTGTTTTACTGTAAAAACATGCTCTATTTGCTCAGGACAATGGGCTAAAGCTATTAATTAACTGCAGTCTAGTGCTGTAAAAGTTTCCTTTGTGCAGACTTCCCTGCTTTCATGGCCTCTAGTAGCTCAGTGCTGTTTCTTAACTTCAGCTGTTAATGATTTTAATGTGGTAGGAGAAAAGTAAATGTTTTTCAATGCCTCACAACTCAGTTCCCAAACTACAGCCTCCAAATCTGAAGGAACGCCTCCCTGACAGAGCTTTAACATAAACAGATTTAAGTTATAATGTTTTGTTATGCACGTGATAAACTTATTTTAAGCACCAATTAAACCTAACTTTTTCTTCTTAAGAAAGGGCTTGATGTTTTTTCGTTACTCCATTTAATACACTATTTTAATTTTCTTATATTTTGTTTTTAAAATATGTTTGTTACTGGATTTTTCATGTAGGTTTTTTGTTTTTAGCTCATTTCTTTTGTTAATTGTCATATATGTCTTTAATTTTTTTAAAATCTTTTTTTGGCCATATTGTACTTTATTACTAAACTATTCAGCTTTTTAAGCTGGTTTGTTAGAGGCTGTAGTTAAAGTTTTGGCTGTTGTAACATGGGGATTTTCCAGCTCTTATGCTAAATAAAGTATATCTTATCAGTTGTAATAGATATAAACTGCTATTTATTGCTTGTGTGCCATTTACTGTTTACTTATCTAAATCTTTGAGTTATTTTTATGTGTCATAGGTCAGTGGTGGACCATCTGTCAATGTGACAGAGCGAGATAGGGACGATAACAACCTCCTACGTGCTCCACCTTCACAGCCCACCTGGCTGGAAAGCAGGCGAGAGGGGGTCAGTGACTAATATGCTGTGATATTTGTGGTGGTGGAATGACATCTGGATGTTGTCTACTATTTTTAGATACTTATTCTGCTGGGGGGTTTTCTACGCGCTTGCAGATTGGAAGGTTACAAAAGTCCCCTTTGCACCAGTGTGTGGTATCTAGCTGGAAAAACAGCTGTGTGGTTCTTGGCATGCAGTCACTCTGTGCAACAGCTTGATTTATTTTTTTTATGGAGTAAGAAAACCAATTAGCTAGAGGTATAGCGCAGTAAAGAACATAAACATGTGTAAGAGCATGTTAGGTACTTTGTCACCTGACAAAGAATTTTGTTAACAATAAATTGATGTTGAAGGTGTGGCAGGTTTTTAAATTTTAGGTTTAGCAAACCTCACTGATTATCTTATCACACATCGGAAAGAGGCACTTTCTAGTCTGATGTATGCTACATCTACCACGGCGTTGTGGGTGGGCCTAAGGGGCCTGAACCCACCCACTCCACTAACGGGCCCACCGTGATAAGTGGAGTAAGTGTCTTAGTATTTATTTTCAGTTAATACAAAGGAAATATTTAATTAAATAAATAAAAACTAAATGTGTTTTCCTTTATATATAAGTAAAAGGTGATATTTATGAAGTTATCAAAGGCAAATTCTGACCAATCACAACAACCCATTTCACATGAACCATTACCTGATAAATCTGAGGGAGCACATCACAGTTCAGAGGTTGTTCAGAAGAGGATGAAGAAACTTCTCTGAATTTTTCTGATACGATCATGAGGTTTTACTCAGTTTGATTCTGGGATTTTGGTCATACTGAACCTTCACAGCTACTTTGTTTCAAAATATTAGACGAGTCTCAGCGGGGACAAAATAAAATTTGTCCTGAGAACTGTTAAAAAATAGGTGGCCTGTCTGTTTTATATTCTCTTTCAATGTAGCGGCAGTTTCTATTGGGTTGATGAATATACAGGGCAGTGCTGTTTTCTCACTGTTGTTATAAGTCAGTGTAGCTCACCCTCTCATCCATAAGAGGATTTATTTGTTTCTTTGATTACACTTTGGATCTCTGTGTTTAAGAGGATGAACATATTGGTCTTCACAATCCACAGCAAGAATATTAATGATAGATCGAGTATTGTTTTTTTCATTTACACATGCTTGTGGGTATGCGCATGCACCCACTTGTAATAAATATAAGCGTCAGGATTAAAATCAACTTCTATAATTACTTTGTCCACAATCGGGATCCTGGCACTGACTCTGTGCTACAGGCTGAAGTGTTGGCTAACATTTTCTTTTCTTGTCAGTAATTACTATTTCTAATTTGAATTTTTACGAGAGATTCTCGATTCTTGTGAATCTGACAGTCTACATGTTGTCAACAGCTTCTAAAAGAAGATCAAGAGAAATACTCTGAGATGAAGAAGAACCTGATGGAAACCATCAAAGAGTTACGCGACAGTGTAAGTGAAGTTTATTACAAATGCTGGTATTAAAAAGATTAGGAGAAAATTATAATGCCCATGCATAAAACCTGAAAGAATTTAACACAATTACTGTGTCAATAAACGTCTTTCAATCCACTGAGAATTCTCCGTACTTACAACTATACTTAATACCTGAACAAAACCTACATACACGTAATTAGACTGATCTAAAAACAGATTTCATGTAGCCAAAATACTCCATATCTAAAAGCTAAAAACTTTATGGTAAATACTATACAGCAGATAAAGCATAACATGATATTTGAAAAAATGATAACAGCTCCACAAAGAGTGTGATCCCTGCACTGTATTTCCTGTGATGTTAGATCCAGGAGATGATACGTGACAGTGAGAACCAGCCTGAACACTTTAACCTGGATGTTGAGGAGGAGAGGAGACTCGAGGCCATGGTGGAGCAGGAGGTCACAAGGGTACTGCTGCACACACAAATGGGATGACACTTTAATTCTGAATTCGAGTGATTGTGAATCTGTTTCCCTGTTGTAGGTGAGGACGGAAATTGAATGGGACATTGTAGAAAAATGTTACTTCCGTGATGTCCTAAAGAGAGAATGCTGGGATACCATGAAGGTCATCAGCAGAACCATAAATGTGAGAAGGGTCAGAAAAAAACAGCGAAACATCACACTGATGACTTTTAACATTTTTTAATTATCGCAGTTTCTTTTTCTCTTGTCTGCCGCAGGCCTTTCACTCTGACCTTGAAGTGCTGAACTACCCTCTGAAAGAGCAAACAGCAAAAGAACTTGAGGACCTTTGCAGGGTTCAAAATATGAGGAAGTTAGAAAAAGCTGCCTGCAGCGTAAGAAAAACAGATCCAGAAGCTCAAACAGTTTAGACTCTGAGTAGCACTGCAAAGAAAGGCACATGTGATGAATTCGAACCAGTTAAATCGTGTTGCTGTTTTGAAATGTGACACAGAAATGCAGTAATGCAGCGCTGAGTGGAAGCTGCGACAACGCAGCCTCCTCTGTGTTTTGGGTTTTCCTCTCTGGAAATACATTTTATGGCTGAAGCGTTCAAGTCAAAACAAGTTTACAGCTACAAAATGATTGGATGCCATGAATCTCAGTCCTTCATCTGACCTTTCACTGCAGTAGCATTTTGAAATGCTTGAACACATGCCAGTCCACCAGTGTTGAAACTTTTTTAGATTTATAGCTGTGTGGCTAAAAGTGAGTTGTTTCGATAGTTTTATCTTAGTGCAATGTCCTGTGGATGAAGTTTATAATCACATGGCCACAGATTCAGTCCTCACTGTTTATCTCAGCCCTTGTGTCCACCTTTAACCCTCAGCTAGGCAACCTAAAGAAAGATCTCAGTGCACAAGAAGAAGAGGAGGAGAAGAAAGTCCAGGACGCTGAGACTGCCACTGTGACGGGGAGTATCTCGGCTCAGTTAGGATATTCAAATCCTTATGTCTACGATCAGTTCAGCCTGAAAACCATAGAGCAGAGGATCAACCAGATTGTTTTGTTACAGGTGGGAACCTGTTTCAAAAAGGTGCAATAATTATGTCTTTATATTCAGGGAATATCCAGAACTGTAATTAAAACACTTTCTTAAAAATAATAATTATGGAAATAAAGAGCAACTTCATCATATTGTCATGCTGATCATTAATAGCAGGTTTTCTTTGCCCAATTTCACTAATCTGCACATTGCAGGATGTGATTTATCGCGTCAAGACGGCTTTCAACGCTGACTTTGAGGCATTACACAAGCAGAAGATGAAGGAGCTCAAACGTGTGAGAGACAGGAACAAGCACATCAGAGAAATCATGCTGCAGCTGGACATGCACGAGGAGCTGTGGGAGCCCAGCCTGACCAACAGCGAGTGGCCAGAGAGGCTGCTCGCAGTGGAAGTCTCTGAGGTTACTGTCCTCTTGAAACATCTAATCAGTTCACAGAGGGTTCAGAGAAAGTTCAGGGGACAAAGCATCTGTACAAGTTGAACTGCTCGTTTGTTTGTTTGTTCTTTTACCAAAGTGTGAAATGGTGTGTGGTTTTTGTCTTATGAGATGTCAACTTTGTCCAACTCCAGATAAGAGCTGAACGGTACCTCACAGCGGAGCAGAAAGAAGAGGAGGAGAGGAGAAAGCTGGAGGAGGAACGTCGTTTGGCTGCCCAAGTATGCTGCCACAAAACAAAAAAAATATGTTTTTGTTTTTCGGTTTTTACGTGTTAAAATACTTGCATAAAGGATGATTGCTTCGATGGTGAGGATAGCTCAGTTCTGCCATGTTAATGGGTTTGTTGCTCTATTGTTCAATTGCAGGCTGATGATTCTAGAGAAAGGGCTCTTGATGACATGATGGATGGAGTACTTGAAGTGAAAAAAGAGGACATCTTGAAAATGGTGACCATCAAAACATTTTTTTAAGACATTAATGCTGAAGTAGACCAGTAGACAGCAGAACACAGTATGAAATATTATCTACTCACTTCTTTGATCAATCTGTTAATTTTGAGATTGTCTCCAAATGCAGAATACAATTAAATATAAAATAGAGTTTTATGTTAAATGAACTGGTACTTATGAAGTGCCCTTCTCCTCTTAAGCCCGATTCAACCGGGCTTAAGGGGAGAAAAAAACCCAGTATAGTTATAAATAGAACAGTAATAAACACACACACATTCATATAGCACTTTATTCTGTGCCTTTGAAAATCATGCTTCAGCACCTTGACTATTGCCGCTTTGACATGCAGACTAGAGGAGCCAGGAATTGAAACACTGACTTTTTAATTGTTAGATGATCTGCTCTCAAGTGGGAAGACGGGGGTTCGGGGGTATATGGTTGAATAAGACATTTGAATGCTGTTGTAGAATGTAATTCAATTTAAAAAACAGAAAACCAAACCAAAACAGTCTTTTAAGTGAGAAGATAATATAAATAAATACAGCATGATGTACTTAGCTATTTAAAACTATACTGTTTTTTAATTACTGGTAGTTATAGATAATAATGTATTCTGTAATTAGATAATATAACATATTAGAAAGCTGGTCCACATCTCATGTCTTTGTTTCATATTACATACAGTCAAAATAATATGGACACCCACGTGTGTGTGTGTGTGTGTGTGTGTGTGTGTGTGTGTGTGTGTGTGTGTGTGTGTGTGTGTGTGTGTGTGTGTGTGTGTGTGTGTGTGCACGTGCATGTGTGTGTGCGTAATTGTGTTTCATGGAGTCTAAATATGATCCATGTCTGTTGTCACGGTGACAACTTGAATTCTTTTCTAAGCAGCGTCAGTTAAATTAGACAAATGAGCAAGAAGGGCACATAGTTTCTATTGAATTTACTCCACAGGAAATACCTCTGCCTGAGTTTGTTTTGACCAAACCTGACATTCAGTGGAGTGAGGAGGAGAAAAAAGTTTTCAAAGAGTATGAAAAGAAAGCCAAGGAGCTCAGCGAGGAGAAGGAGAAGTACAAAAAGGTATTACATAAGATGCTCTTTTTGCACTGATCTGAATTATAATTCACTCCTGATGTGAATGGTAACAGTCTGTGGCCTGTGTTGTTGCAGCTACTGGAAATTGAAATAAAAAAGCTTCACCAGTCCACCAAGGAAGCGACCGAAAGGTTTGATGAAAATCTGGCAAAGCTGTTAGAGAAGAAAGTGAACTGCACAGTAGCTATATACCAGGTAAGCCCTCTCTTCTCATTTGCCCCTTGCGATGTCTTTTATAACATCCTGCTTAAAATTGGTTTCGGTGTATCTAACAGGAAGAGCTCAAGATCACATATCTCGTTGAGTCAGTCCTCAGAGAAGAAGAGATGAGAAGCCAGGAGCAGGAGCTCAAGCTCCAACTTGAAAAAATGTTGGCATACAAGGTCAGAAAACTGGTGCACAGTAATGCTGTAGGAATTTATGAGTGCCAGCTTCACACTCTGTTCTTTGTGAGAAATGGCAGCAACATCATCCAAAACTGTAGAACAAAACCTTCCCTTCGTTCAGGCATGTTTTTTTAAGAGCTAACCTGTGTGGCACACTCATTTTGTAGGCTTCAAGACTGCTTATCGCTAATTTCCATACATGCTCGTCTCCTCTAAAATTGGTTCCTCTGACAGGATGAAACTGAGGAGAGGTTGAAGAAGCTGGAAGATGAAGTAGAGTTGTTACAGGAGACGTATGACAATGTTGTCCTTGAAGACAAAGTAAGCCAGCTGATTAAATACTAAAATGATGGCTGAGAGAGATGGCAAACATAACACAATATAGTAACCTAACGTCTGTGTCTCTGAAGTCGCTGGATAAAGACTTCAGGAGGGCATTTTCAGACCTTCCGAGCCATATGGTCGATTGCCTCTATAAGATGTTCAAACGCAGACCCAGGTTTGTTTCCTGATTGATGGCTACGCATGAAGAAAATTACATAATTTGAGTTGTAAACTGTTTATCGTTTTTTGTGGGCAAATTTTCACCCCACAGGGCTCAGAAGATGAGGGCCCAGATGGACAACAGCAACAATTCTGACCCGTTTAAAGAGAATCGTCTGTGTGGTTCTCAGGCCCCTGATGCATTCAGCCAAATGCTCAGAGCCATGGACGAACTGGACGCTCCAGCGAACATACCAGAGGGCTTGAGCACAGTAGCCTGGGAGAAATTCTGTCACGTTCGCAGAACTAAAGTAGAGAGCGAGCAAAAGGTATGACGACGAGGAGAGGTTAAATATGGAGGAGAGTTGCTGTTCCATTAAGATATGCATAAATGTGCACAATATCTTACTCCGGCTCAACTTATGAATAGATGTAAAAAACAACTATTTCCATTCTGTGCTTGCAGTTATGCACTCACTGCCAGACACGTCTTTTTCAGGTAAAAACAAAAGCTTTGACTCTCGCTGAGATGCAGGCGTTCCTGCAGAAGAAGAGAAATGAGGATAAAGCTGCTCAAGAGGAAATTAAAAATCTTTCTAAAGCGCTTGAAAGGTATAAATCAGATTTTTCACTCTGATTCCAGCCTTAAACTTAATGACTAGTGTGAGTGCATTAAATCTATTTTTTAATGGAAGAATGACCCGTGAGTGCTCCCCCCCCTCCTTCTGCTGTAGTCTGCACCGGAGGAGGACTGATCTCCTGATGGACACCATGGTCCAGATCATACTTAAACAGGGACAGGTGGAGGTGACTACCACAGACCCAACTGCTGACAACGCAGACACCGACTTCATTCTTTACCACAGGAGCGTCGTGGACAACCTGAGAAATGTCATCAGGGTCAGCCTTTTCCTACTCTCATCACAAAGAATTTGATTTGATTCAAACCAAATTGGTCAAATTCAGGTGGTTATGGTGTCGTTGCCTGCTACTGATTATCGCTATGCTCAGACACTTGCAGAGCAGAAAATAACATCCATGGTGGCGTGCAAAGACGTGCGTAAGGGCATGATCCAGCTGGAATGGGAGAACAAGGTGATGAGGAAGCAAATAGAAGACCTCTACGACAAGGAGAAGAATATAAAGATGCTACAACTCTCAGAGGAGCAGCAGAAAATGACAGTAATGTAGATTCTAAAATATGCTAACACTGCCTCTTTTTAAATGTTTTATTCTAAACTAAACTGAGACAGTGAATAGGCATTACGCTGTATAATTCCAACTTGTGAAAACGTTCAACATCTGCTTAAAATAATAACAAAATGTCTGCGTTTAGGGTTAAACATTAATCCCATTTGCATTTCTGGCCAAACCTCAGGCGGTGATATGAAGGCAGGTATTTGGCAGCATCACATGTTTTGCGGGCAGCAAATTGTTACCATCCTCCAGCACAGATGGATGATCTTTTATTGAAGACACACACCCTATTCACGCCAGCTCCCCACCCTGTTTTTTTCCCTTTTTCAGCTCTTAAAACTCTTACTCAATAGGCGGAGACTGGTTGGAAGATTATCCTGTCCTTCCGTTCTTTTTTAAAAAAATACGTTTTACTTTGTTTACAACCTAATTCGCATTGAACACGAGTAATATCACAAGTTAGAGCGCTGCAGTTGAGAAATAAAAAATACAGATCAAATGAGTCATCCGTCATCTTATTTTTAACAAGTCAATGAGCATCGCATGTGTTTCCAGGCCTGAATGCCAGCTTCCGTTGGAAAAAAAAAACTTCAGGTAGATCTTTGGTGGCCATTTCCTGCCATTGTTCAAGCCCATGAAACCAACCAACTAAATCCAAAGTTTTATGATGACGGTGTTTTACTTCAACTGTTGTTGGATGCTGATTTTCTGTTCTTTCACTGCACACTCTTTTCCTTTTCAGCATCGCAGCAAGTCAGATCAAGAAAGTCACACATCCAAGCAGATTTCCAGTTTGGAGAAAAGTATTGCCTTGATGGAAACGGTAATAAAACAGTAGCTACATGTGTGTAATTTGTGCAGCTGACTGTTCAGATAAAATGTGCTTTTTTTTTTTCAATTTTATGCAATTATGCAAATGCAATTATTTTCAATTTCAGACTCATAAGAAGAGTGTGCAGCAACGCTTAAGAAAGATTGAACAATTAAATAAGCGGGCAGCAGCAAAAACTAAAAAGAGCGCCGATTTAGAACAGCAGCTCCCTGAAATGCATGTCACCGTGTCAGAGTTGAGACACATCTGCGAAGCAGCAGGTAACGAAAACAGCCATTTCAGCTCTAATTAAACACAATGCAAATGGGAGTTTTCTTCATCTTCTAGCATGTTTGGTATTTAGCTATGGCAGAAAATGAGGCTGCTGCACAAGAAGAGCGCTACCAGGAAATCGTTAAGAGGAGCAAGTTGAAGGAACTCGCCAGAGCTCAGGCAGAGAACCTGGCTTTCCTTGGGGCAGAAGTTGAGCGTCTCACCATGAAGAACTTTCCTTCGCTTGATCAACTGAAACACTAATGAGCAAAGCTTTCTTCTTCAACAGATTTTTACGGTTTTATTTAAGCTTCTCTCAGCAGATAAATTGAACATAAAGTGTACAACTTGAACTGTAGCAGCAACAAATTAAACAATAAACAGGACATCTGAAATGTGATTGTTCCCCTGTAACATTTTATTAGGTAGTGAAGTCGTCCTCTGTGCGGTCAAAGTGCAGAATGCTCTCATCCAAATTGAACAGGTCAATCAGCTCAGACAAGCTGGCTTTTCGTCCATCAATAGGGACTTCTGATTGCAGTTCATACAGCGCAGCTTGAGCACAATGCCGCCACTTATCAATCAATGTTTGGAGATGAGTCAAATCATTCTGTGGGCGAAAGATGGGAGAACCTGTCGTGAGAAATTGCCAGCTTTGGTTTAAGTAACCAAAAACATATCCCATTATGTTCCATTTAAATGTCACCAATACCTTGCTTCTGTACATTTTAACCATCTTGAGTCTACGTAGAGTCTCTGTTTTGTCTTTCACCTCCTTCCTGAGACGTTGTGCAAAGTCTCCTGAAGGATATTGTGTTGATTTGGGAGCAGGCCCAGACAACGTTTTACTCCCTTCTCTCTCCCCATTTCTGTTTACATCAACACTGCTTAAAACCACTGGAGGATTATTAACGGGCTGCTGGGAATCTGCTGAAACTTGTTGGCCATTCTCCTCATCATCAACACAAAGGCGTTTGGCCACAGAGAGGGGAGAGATGAAGGAGCGCCTGGATCTCTTCAGCCTCTCCCTCAGTGAGGCACTCAGCTTCGGTTGATGCTGTGGGGGTGACAGAAAAGAAAATGACTCACAGGGAAAGTGCATGGGCAAGTTTTGATAGTTAATTACAAAAGTTCCTATAAAGTCAACCATCATGCCAGGTTATATTATGTAAGACAAATGGTGCTTAAGCCCTTCTAACACCTTACCTTCTCTTTGTAGTCACACGGGCTTGACTCTACTGAACTACATGGTGAACAACAGTCCCTCTGTAATTTAGCTGCTTTAGGTGTGATCTCCATCGCTGAAACTTGCTTTGAATCATGTAAACTTCATAGTTTTGAAGGGTAGTTTAAGTTAGCCAAGTGGATATCGTTAGCTAGGCACTTATCCATTTATCACATTTTAACAGACGCCGCTGAAAAAACAAACCTACTTTCAGCACTTACAGTAAATGAAGGGTTGTTAAATGCTGCTACAATAACCACTGAGCAGCCAACAACTTTCACTAAACGCAGACTGAATCAGAAAGCTAGGACCGACGCGAGACTTTTTCCGTATTTTGCGGCTCGAAACCTTCGCAGTCTGTGATTGGATAGAACGTAATGACGTATTACAGAAACGCATCTTGGGAGCTGTAGTTAGTATAACATGTAAGGCACAAAATGTTCTTTGTGCCTTAAATCCGGTGTTTTCATGATATTTCTCAAACTTACAATAAATCCGTATGATTATATTGACTCGCTCTTATGCTTTGAGAAAATTATACATGCAAAATTAGTTAAGTGTTCCTAAAAATAATTTTTTTGAACTTGAAAAAACCTGCTGGAAATACAGGTTACTTACAGTAAAACTAAATAAAGTCAGGTAATTATAAGAAGAAAATTATAAGAAGAATATTAGAGTAAATTATATTTCTCATTAGATTTTAAAGGATAAAGCGTAACATTCAAGAAGTAAGGACTTCCAGTGAAATTAAACTCAACTATGCTGCTTTACAAAATAAAGTGCTACAGGAAACACAAAGTAAAACTGATTTGTGTGGACTGTTGACAGGTTTAGTGCTGCTTGTCACCCTTGTTGCTAGGGTCGAGTCACATTGTGATTCAGCTCTTCTCATCAGTTGATTCATTTCCTTTAATGGGCTTATTTTTAACTCCTCCAGACCGATCCATTCATGGTTTGTTTGGGATGGCGTTCAGATGTTTGCGATCACCTGCTTTTTTTTCTGCTGCCTTGAGGATAAAAAGTGGGAATTAAAACGTGAGGCTGCCTGGACTTGAACTTCAGCACTTGGCAGTCTGATATTACACACCCTAGGGATCTGGGGATTTTTGTCATATTATATGGATGAATGTTGCAGGGCTGAAAGCTGCAGTTAATTACTATGTGTGAGTCAGGAGACAGTTTTCAGTGTTTTTTTTTTTTAACTTTTGAAAACTTGACAAAAACTCTGTGCTCAGTCCCCAGCAATATGGGTAGCAACAGAGCCAATGTGAGACAGCGAACGCAGGTGCCATGTCTTTCATCAAATACAGGTGTGCAGGCTGGGCACTCTTAAATATAGACTCTAGCCATGTTTTTGCATGCTATTGTCCCCCTTACTTAAATTATAAGATATGGTCAGCCTTTTGCTTCCCCTTTTCCAGTGGATTAGACGCTACTGGGCTGTGCACAGACTGTCACTTGACTTTGGCTGAAAGGGTGTTTTGTATTTTGGGTTAGCGGGTTATTTTGATTTCACAATCCACTGTGTGCTGGTTTCCCTTTAATGCGTTGCCAGTGAGCCTCATCTGTAAAACACTTCCTTATCTCCCCTCCAACGTTTACATAAACAGAACATAAAGACCAGTAAACTACAGTCTGACACAGGGGCCACAATATGGGGACACACAGGTGATAAAAATCACCTGGCTAGCAGCGAACTTGAGGCCTCCTGACATTTGGTGTCACATTTTCCACTCACTTTCCATATTTATCCAAAGAAGGAAAAGGACAGGTGTTATTAATGGCAGCTCCTTTCTGTTTAAGTGTCCCAGTCAGAGTCACAGTGTCTGCAACACTCTCACTGTCACACTGAACGGTATCAGTGCCCTGAAACCCAAGACCTATCTGGACCATAGCCATCAGTAACTTTGATTTACACTTGTTCTTTTCTCCTGCGAGACGGTAAAGCGTCTGCTTGTGAAAAAGGATGCAAAAATAACGTGGTTTCAAAATCAAAGTCAATTTGACCTTTAACCTGCAGTAGCTCAGTGATGGCTGTATGAGTTGGATGACTGTGGTTGTTACGAATCCTTCCTGATGATCCCCCTTGAAATAGCGACGTGTCATCTTTCACTGTCAAAGACTGAAGCAATTATGTTGACCACATAGATCAAAACCCACATTCCTTTTCAGAAATAATAGTCTTTTCATTTTGGAAAACAAAATAGTCCCAAGTGTGTCTCCCTGTGTTAAGGTCATGCTCTTTGTGTTGCTTCTTTTATACAATGAGTTTATTGTTCTGTTTTTCTAATGGTGCATATGATTATAGCCTTCATTTAATGTTCAAATATCCATCCATCCATTTTCTCAACCACTTATCCGGTTCAGCAGGACTGGATCCTGCAGTACTTTCAAGTCATCTACGGATTATATTCTCATTTAACTACTAAATTATTAGGTCTTGGAAAAGAACTAAACAAAGTTTCCTACAAGAAAATATCAAATCACTTATTTAGTTCAGCAAACTCTCCCAAAACCAAAGAACGGTGCAGGCTATAATCAGAGATGGCACTAGCTGTAGCTGTAGAATATTTGGTGCTTGAAGTATTAATTATAAAAATAAATGGCGGTTATTTTTCTGTAAGTCCGCAGAATCAAAATGTTTACGGCTCAGGAGTTTTACAAGTGAGAAGAAAACCAATAAAAATCAGGAGGTTTATAAATAAACTATTACATGCTCTGTCTCTCTCTTTTAAATTTGCATGCACTTTCTCTGAGCCAAGTATCGTCAGAAGTTCCCTCTTGGTATTTATTTATTATACCGGAGAGGTTTACTAGCTCAACTTAGAGCAAAGCCTGATGTCTGTGCAAAGTTGAACCTCAGCTTCATCTCTTCAAACACCTCAAAATGCCAAGCCAGTCTGTTGAGGTTTCCCTTAAATCATCTTCTATAGTTAAATACAAATTATGCCAGCAAGAAAAAAAAAGTCCATCTTTCAGCTCTGTAAGTGCTGACTCCTTTATAAAGAGAACCAATAATACTCCTTCAGAAAACCTAATTTGTACTATTTTTCTGTCAAGAACATTTAATCATTTATGTGTACATGCCCGGTTATCCTAATAAACCCTGAACAAGATTTTTTTCTTTTAATTTTTCTGCTGTGTAAGCATTGTTGAACTCCCTGTCAAATCTTTTGAAGCTGTTTCCCCCTCTCTTCGAACGAATAATAAGAGCTTATCTGGAACAGCTGTTATCCTCAACACAAACAGGAGTGTGTTTCATACAAAAAGGCTGCACAGGCCAGTCTGCTGCAGCTCCCCCCCACCATCCTGGAATCTGTTGCTTTCCCTTAAGATTTGGCATTATTCAAACTTGCACATAGATGTGAGCGGAGCAGCAGCTCCTCCTCCGTTACACTGTCCTTGGGGCCATTTCTTTTCCATCCTTTGAGCAGATTAGAGTCATACTCGCTGTGAGTCATGCAGGGTGGGTGGATGTCTGCACAGGGTGTGGTGGGTGAGGGAACCTACTGGCGCTTGCGGCTACCAGTGTAGAAATAAAACATCTATAATTTAGCTGCAAAATTGCATAAATGTAAATGAATGGATGGAGAACTTTTATTATTATCATGCAGTTAAAAACAGCTCGTGTGTCCTCTCATTTGGTGACTGCACGTGGTGGAAGCTGTTGATTTCTTCTGAAGTCTATCAGCAGTGTCACATGAAAACTATCAGAACTCCTAATCTGAGCAGTAAACAGGAAAGGCACAAACTGATGCTGAAACAGCTGGATTTAAAAAAAAGCTGAGGAGCCTTTTACGCAAACATTGCAGTCAGTTAAAGTCACCCGACTCCAGCCTTGTGCTTTTAATTTTAAAACGTTGTAAAAATACTGCTTGGTTATGTAATAACAGTTGCTGAAGCCATAGGATATAGATTAAATGCTCTGTTTCTTGTTCCAAAAAATGCGCACCAGATGCGTTCCAGATGCAGCAGGATTGATTTGTAGCCCACACTAGATCAGCAGACCCCGAAATGGCTGCACTGCTATCCAACAGCA